CTGTAACGCGTTACTTTTACTTCGTTACCGCCCAACACTGTTTATAATAATAAAAATTAATGTGCAACAAGCCACTCTACCTGCAGCAGGACATAGGCCACACATTTGTAAAACTCTCAATCATGGTAAATGTTGCCATTTATTCATACAATTTATTTGCATGGAATAAAAATGTCTCCATGTCACACTGAAGATGAAGTCAATGAAAACGATGCATGTCAATCCTTTCTTGACAACATTCGGATATATTACCAAAAAAAAAAAATGGAATGAACTGCTTCTAACTGATGTTTGCACACACGTCTGAGGTTTAGTCTTGTGCTTCCACAGGTAGTAGAGGTTCATCCTCATAATGAAGACTTATGATGTGCAGTACTTTGATGGTATTGCAGAGTTGCCTTACGAGTGAAGCCTCTTTGACAGTCCGGACAGGAGAAGGGCTTCTCCTTGCTGTGCTTACGACTGTGATGAATGGCATTGCCTTTGTTTCCAGTGACAAATGGACATACAGGACAGAAATGCACCTTCTCTCCGCTTGTGAATCTTCCACACCATACGTATGGCTGAACATAGGCGATGGTCTGCAACAAAAAAAAAACCATAATGCCTTCAGTGTCTCCCTCGAAATTCCTCAAGTGCATATGGTGATGGTTTTGAAGGGATGTTGGATGCTTCAGCACAAGAAAATACTCTATAGTATCAGTGTTGATCGTACGGTGTTTTCCGCTTGACATGGACACCTGTGCACAGGATGTTCCTCATGCACAAGTGTCTGAGTCTCGAGAAAAATTTTCTAACTCAAGTGAAAAACACCGTAAAGACACAAGCAAAGAAAAGGTGCTGATGCATCCAGCTTCTTCCTGCCTTCAGTTTCTGGTTGCATCCAGTTTCTAGCTTCATTTGTCCTTCAAGATGCAGAGACAATAATCTTAAATCAATGGGTCCTTCAAGACTCCAAAACAATCATTAAATTGCTGAAATAATCTACAAAGAGCAGGTTTACTTACAATCCTAGTCAGTTAGCTCAATGACATCACTGTCACCCAAGTCCTTCAACCCAATCCTATCCAAGCTTACAGTGGTTGACTGAGTGCAAAACATCATGACATCATTAATGTGTCACACTTTTGGTGATTTCAACACAGACCTATCTACATTTGAACTTGGGAAGGATCAGATCTCCTATTCAGAATACACTTTTAAATATTTCTCTATTAAGGGGTTGAATTATGTTCACTTCCTTGTTAATGCTCATTTTCTACTCATGTCAGAGGGTCAAAGTCAGAGACCAGCAAAATTCTCATCGGAAAGGAAACACTCTTAGCTGCTTCAGAAATCCATTTATTACAAATGTCACTAGAGAAAAATCACAGTCCCTTCTGGTTTTCCAACACATGTAAAATGTCAACTTGCTGTGTGCATCTCAGCTTATCAAGGATTTGAAGATGGGACCTTACAGGCCACTAACTGATGGGTATGGAGGCTTCCTTTCCGTGTAAAGGCCTTCCCACAAAATGTACACTGGAACGGCTTCTCCTTGCTATGTGTTCGACTGTGGTTTACAACGTGTCCCTTATTTGAGGAGACATACGGGCAGACAGGGCAAAAATATAACTTCCCAAAGTTCGTCCTCCAACCAGACCAAACATAGGGTAGAATGTGGGTGATGCTCTGAAAAAAAAGGGCCAAGGGAGATCACATTTTGCGTTTTTCTGCTATATTAATTATTTCATTCAATTCTATGAGGAGCCTTTAAGGAGAAGAGAAATTCAGATTTAAATAATCTAAAAATAAAGGTCAAGGATCACATATGTATTGATTGAAGCACATGCCAAAAAGATTGATTTAAGGATTTGCATCAGTATGTGATAGCAATGCAGCCTGTGTGTTATGTGGGTATATGGAAAATTAGCGGATGACTTTTTATCAGCTTCATTTACTTATTATCATCTAGCAGGAGTATCCTGCACACCATTGGAGAGTTTATTTTCCTCCATCACTCAGTGGGCAACAACTGTGGAGAAATGATAGAGTCTATGCAGGGCCACTGAATATAATGCATTAAGGTTAAAAAAACCCATGAGGATAAGCCTGAAATTGCAGTCCCACATGTTTGAATACAGCCTAATGATTGGACATTTTGTTCTTATTTAGATTGGTGTACACAAGCTCTTTGTAACATAAGAAAGCAGAATAAGTGTGGAGAAATTGAACCACTTCAGTACAAGACCCATTTTATCAATAAATTTGAATTAATTTTCTTGAAAGAATTTTCATTCGATTATATCCAGCCATTATACCACAACAATTTTACAAAACCAACTCAATTTATTGCACAAGGAGCAAGAGAGGGAATGGTACACACTGTGTGTGGTAACCTTGGGCTAGGGCTTCTCTCTGTCCATTAAAATGCTCCTTTTTCTTAAGGTAAGGGAAGGAACTTAACATTTTGCAAGACTTAGCCTCTTGCAAAATATTGAATAGTAGAAATGTATTGCTAACAGAGATCACAAGCTGTAAGAAAGTGGTTTATCTGAGAGGAAGAGAAGGAATAATGAGGAGAGAAGAGGGTACAATAAACCAAAACTGAAGAAAACTGCATTTATGTGAAAGAAGTCATTTTCTCCTAAAATCCTAATTGAGGGAGCAAAAGTCTCATTTGCCTATTCTAAGAGACACAGAGGCATATCAAAGGTCTGTTCATTGGATTCTGAAGCACAGATGAAAGATGACCTTGAAAGGAATAGTCATTCCTGTTGCAGATTCAAAGGTGTCAGTGCATGTATAAAAATTAAAATTTGAATTGCTTTTTTACAAACCATTTATGTGGCAAAATAGTGGGAGATAAACGGGTGAACATTTTAGAATGTTTAAAGGATGCATAAAAGTATATATGAGAAAAACCTATAAAATGTTAGCACTGTTTCATAAGCACCACAGAATTTGAAAGTGGCACTTCCTTTCACTTCATCCTGAATAACCTCAGTGGTTGTAGCAGATGCAGGCAAGGAATAATAGTCCCATTCAGCAAATAAAATATTATTCAAACCATTAAGAGATTCCTCTTTTCCATGATGGTCATACATGTGACTCAAAATAAAACAACTATGGCTACTCTCAAAATATGGAAACCCAGCAAAATCACAATAGTGAAGGGTCATCCAGAGACAACTTTCTATCAGAAGAAGCATATAGTCCTGAAATGAATTACATTCCCAGTACACATAAGTCTGGATGCCGCATGAGAACATGCCGTTTCAAATAATCATTTCTGGCAAAGTTTTTGTCACACAAAGCACACTTGAATCGCTTCAATTTATTGTGAGTGGAACTGTGCTTCACCATGTTATCCTTTTTCTTGTGAGAATAGTCACAGACAGCACAAAAATACTTCTTCTTTCTTGTTCCCCTAATCCATCCACACCACACGTAGTCCTGATCTTTGAAGATTGTCTATAAAAATGAAACAAGAATCATGGTCATATAGGAGATTAAATTACTTCTTACAATGCGTTGTATAATAGTAATATACTGGGTGAGATAATAAAAAAAATACATTGTTGTTGGATTGTTCATATCTGAAAATTGGACAAAGATTTAACTGTGTATGTTAAACAGGTATGTATCTAGATCTTGCCTCTAACTTAAACTTCTTTTTTTAAATATTCTTGACACTCATTAATTCACAAAATTAAGGAAATTTTAAATTAAAATATTTGGAAATTCCTCTTCATTCAAGGAAACTCACTGAAAATGGTTCATAATGAGCCCTCCTTTTGTTAGGACAACAATGAGTCTGCAATTTCCATTGAAGAATCATTCTCTGAATGAAATCAGTGCACACTTTTGTTCAAAAATATGCTTTAATGAAGCTGCTAGCCTTAGACTGGACCATGATTAAAACTGATGCGATGGGCAAGTCAGTGTGAAAGTGAATAAGCATAATGGCTTCCCCTGTGGGTGAGACACTAACAGGAGGGGATTTCAATATGTCAACTGCAATCTTTAAAGTGTTCCTGTGACTAAACCAAGAAGGAGAAAATTCTGAAAATACAGGGTGTCCATAAAGTAACAACCTATGGACAATTTTTCATACTGAATCTGGGAGAATCCACTTTTTAAAATTATTTTTGCAGGCTGTTTATCAATAGACCTTGGAATAACATCAAATATTTTGTTCCTCCACTCTGGTGTGACTGAGAATTCTTTTACCAAACCCTTGTTTCAATTACAGGTTCAGAAATATGGAGTATAGCATTCTGAGTTGTCAGCCAGGGCGAATGACCCCTATGATCTCTAGATTCGGCCCCTTGTGATTTTTTTCTCTGAGGCGACTTAACACTGCAACTGCCAACCCTCAATAAAATCAACGTTGGTAGGATGCTGTGCTGCTTCTGGCAGTTCCAGGGTTAATAGTCATTGTTAACAAGGACAAGCCCACAGATCTGAACAACTTGAAAGAGAATATCTCTCCTGCTGTGAGCCAGAAAAGTGATGGAATCCTCATGGATGTTGCTGACAATGCAATTGCCAGGGCTCAGAAATGTCTGGAAATTGGTGGTCAACACATTGAGTCTATTTGTTGAGTAAATTTAATTTTTATGGATCCTTATTCCCAAAATGCTCTATCATTCAGTCAATACTGTAACTGCAAGAAGTTGCTGCAACTAAGTGGAATGGCAAAATTTTTCTCAAATTATTGTTGTCCTTTCCATTCAAATGAATATTTAAAAAATCATAAAACACCAGATGGGGGAAATTAATTTTCAACTATGCTATAGTGGAAGGAAGAAAGATATGACACGATTCTGAGGTCGGTATGTTGTCAGTCTACAAACATTTAAATAATGGCTACTTCGGTGTCTATAATAAAAAAGTCACGATAGGTAGTCACTTTATGGACGGGTGTCTATAAAGTGACTACCTATCGTGACTTTTTTTTACTTTATATGGTAGTGTACTTTATATGGTAGACAAGATGTAGCTGCATATATCCTAGGATATCCATAATAGTAGTAATGACCAAATTCCAGATACAGCAATGCAAACAGTGGTGCTTTTATTTTTCTCTGCACCCAGCATATGATCCTTAACCACTTGAACATACCAGGTATTAGACAATTACCTGCCATCCTATGCCAGAATTTTGTAATAAATAAATATTCTGCTAAAGTTCTCTACTTAAATGCTATTACCACTGACTTAACTTCCTCTCGTGATACTGCTTCCCTGTGAGCACTCAATGTGAGCAACCACTGAGTGTCATATGTATCAGTTGCATGATTTCTCCATGATGCAAATAGGCGCATCATGTGCATTCAAGGGGTTAAAAGACAGAGCAATTGATTCAGAATTAAATCTAATATATTTGGGAACTTTTATTGACTCCATATAAAATCTGATAAAAATAAAAAGCTTTGAAAATAATGTTACTGGAATGGCACTGAAGCAAATACCTCAGATAAACATATATTGCAAATGGGATGTATAGCTATGCAATGAAAGCATCAGTAGGTTATGATTCACATTAATAGGTCAATGGTGAAAGCCTTAGCATTTATTCCACACAAAAAGGGCTTGCTGCATTTTCTGCCAATGGGACCATGCAATGACCATGCAATTAACCCCTTAACTGGGTATGAGGAGTACATTCGTCATGACTGTTCTTCTGTGTGGTGCGAATGACAAGTACACTTGTCATGGAATCTGAAGATATGGGACTGTCATTCACTGAAATATTTGTGGCACTTTTCCTTGTTTGTTTCCCTTGAATAAAAAAAAAGAATTAAATGAAGCTCCATTGCATTCACAAATTGCAAACAGAAACACTACCCACCCACCCTTATACCACTATGCGGATATTTGCAAGTTAAGGGCTGTTGGTAATTCTGCTCCAGAATATAAATGGCAGCTGACAAATAGGAACTGAAGGCTGTTTATAATTCTATCATCACATCTTTGCATTCAAAAATCAATTAAAACAATAGCTGAGTAAGTCTAAGCTTGTGAGAAGAGAAGTCCTGCAGACAACAAACTTGCCAAAAACAAAACTGTGTAGTGATTATTCTGTCCACTCCATATTTACCTGCATACAAAATTATTTGAATTCTGGTGATTCTTGAAATGGAAAGGAGAAGAAAGTGAATTCAGAAAATTTTCATGTTTTTAAAGTTAGAGTTAACTGTCATTGTTATTGACAACTGGATGTTTAATCATCCCACCAAAGTACAGTGGAAGCACAACAACCCCTAAACAAAATGGTAATTAAACTATTGTAGATGAGATATGAATAGTACCAGGGCCATCAATAATTCCTGAGCCTCACCCACAAACCAAGCATGCACAGATTAAACAATAAATCATCTGTTCAGGGATCAACACATGCTTGGTTTATGGGTGAGGCAGAGAACTTATTGACAGACCAGGAAGCACAAATGAGGATGCCTTGCAACACCATCAACATGTATCATTCCTTGCACAATTATTTTTTGCTGTAAAATCTGCATTTTCCATTTGTAAGATCTTCCAACATATATAGAATTTCACAATGTGCTGGCATACATGTGGATTACCAGGTTTGGAAATTTCTCAACAGGGCATAAAAATGATCATGCCAATACTAATGGAGGAAAATTACTTCATTTGCAAATGAGCAGAAACAAAAAAGTAGGACAAGTGCATGGCTGCCTGAAAGGGAGGGCAAGGGGTGCAGACAAATTACTGCAAAAAATGATTGATCACTATCTAACAGATATATAATTTTTTATTAAATAATCCAATAAATCCAGACATCCAGCTGGCATCCATTATTAGGAATCAATAGCTCATGGGTGGAATTTTCCATTCTATCCCTCTCCCAAAGGAACCCCACTTCTGGAAAGTTTTTACTCCAGCAAGTTTTTCCTGCATGCCATGAAATCTGGGATAATGCAGCACAACACTCCATAGAGGAAGGCCTATGCCCAAGTTGGATACATTTTTCTTCCCAACATTGATTATCATATAGTCAAGCTAATATCTAAAGTGGATTACATGCATGACAGTATGACAATTAAAAATCAAATTTTATCTCCCCATGGGATGCAATGGATTTTGGCATCTTTGCTGATTACAAAGTGGCTCCTAATTTTTCTGCTTGATGAAAGCCAATGAATGAGTTTTCTGCAGTTCTTGGCATAAATGGTAATTAATATCTCCATGTTTTTTGCCCTTGCAATGTTGCACCTCATTATGTCAAAACATGAACCACAGATGTTTTATTGGCATGGAACCATTGCCAAATGCATAGGTAACCAAGGTCAAGACATTAACTAACTCCTATTGGATAACTTAATAAGGTAGGCTGAAGGAAAACTATAAGTTCATTGAATATACATTCAAGAGCCCAAACTCACCCACTTCCAAAAACCTAAGATCTAATGCTTTACAAAGACATATGAAATCATGCAATACTACTTCTCAGTTCCTTCTCTGACCCAGCCAAGCAATACAGGATGTTACATAATATAGAACCCTCTAAACTCCAATATGCCCTAATTAAAGCACCATAATTTATGCAAAAGTCAGATACTAACTCCATGAGATTTGGGTGTCACACATTAAAGCTGTACTTTAAAAAGATGCATGATGAATGCATGTGTTGTCCTAATCAATCTCAGGCCCAAACAGACCAGCTGCTTTTAGCACTTAGCACTTTCTTTTACCTTAACCTTTTTTTTTACCTTTCTTTTACCTTTTCCACTCGAATGGGTGAGTATACTTGCCCATTGGTACATTGACTCTTGCAAAAATTCGAGTGGAAAAGGTTAAACCTGCTCCTTCTCCTCACATATTGCAGATCATATACTGCTGTTGAGCCCACCCCATGATGGACATTTTTTAAATAGAAGGATTAGGCAACGGCAACAGTGGAGAGTTTAATTTTCCTTAAAAAGTCAAGGATGTGGTCAGTTGTGATACAATTGGAATTGGTCAAAATGCTTTCATCAATAAAAGCTTCCTCAGAATCCATATCAGGTTCCATAGCAGTTATTTTTTATTGCATGTGAATTAGCGAATATGTATTGAAGTGGATGGTGTCTTTTTCCACTTTCATTGCAAACAAATACACTTTCAAAATAAACTGCCTTTGGGAGTTAATCTTGTAAATGTCACTGAGACACTACACAAAAAACATGTGAAGCTTTCAATAAAAACCACTGTAAGAACCCATCACACCTGCTAGTTTAATCAATAAAATCAGACAGCTCCTAGATTTTGTAAGTATGCATTGTGTTTCTTCTGGCTGGAGGCATCATTTCCATCCATTCCATACATTTCCAATTGAAATCAAGATATAATGCATACTTTTAGTAGCAAGTAAAACAGTTTTTTCTGTGTTATGTAACACCAGAAGGTCAATCATCAGAATCAGAGCTGTAACATGTTTCACAGATGCACAAATAGTTTCAGGATCAAACCAAAGAAACTAGGTTGTCAGAAAATTGTAATCAACATGAGCAAATGTAAATTAGAGAAAATATGCAGAACAATGTTATTAACCAAACCAATTAGGACATGTCCCACACAAAAAAAACCAAGCTTCTCACAGTGATCAGGAGTTTGTTTCCTTTTTTTCATCCACAGCAGTGGCAATGACCTTGCCATTCTTCCTTGTCACCTTTTATTTTGTAGTCTGTTAGCCCAGCAAATTTATTTTTCCTGATGTACTAATAATAACAGGTTACAGGAGTAGTGAAATGATGTGAACAAACCTCGTATTTCTCAAAACTAGAAGAAAACAACATTCTCCTATCTGAACTGAACAAGAAAAGCCTTCAAGCCTAACTCAAACTCAAACTCAAAAAAGGGCATTTTGCAGTATTAGTTTTGGCTCATGCCAAATTTGTAAAGAGCATTGCTTTTGGGTTTCTGATGCTGCTATGCTCAGGTGTACAGGCTTAAAATATATTACTCGACTGGCACATCAATTTCCAAATCACCTCCCATGACAATATACCAATGGGCCAATCAAAAGAGTTAAAACAACAACAATGAAGTGAAATAAAAAAAGAGGATACACTGACTGATTACTGAGAAAAAATCCATGCTTTATGGTCTGAATATGTCAATCTAACTACTAAGTACATGCATGATACATTTACTTCCTTATCATATTAACTTTCTCTCTTCAGGTCATATGACAAAAGCTTCATCATTATTTGACAAAGTAGATTTTCTCATGTACAAATAATTATTGCCTGATTTTCAAAAGAAGAGGGCTACACAAAATGATCAAAGGAGAGGGAGACACCAACCTGGGAATCAACTTCCGGAGGAATATTCAAGGGAATATCAGGTTCTCCTTCCATGCCTTCATCATAATATGAACTCTGAGACTGTCCATCCCACTGGCCTTCATCCTGAACAATAAAATAAAATAATTATGAGTATCAGAACTAATTTCAAAGAAAATAAAAAAGCAGGATGGAAAAAGCAGGTTGGAACTGAAACTTTGTTGGACTGAGGAAGATTTCACTTAGATGCTGCTAAAACCTGTGAACGTGAATGCATGGAATAACTCTTTGAGTAAGTGTTAAAGTTACAGTCTGATATAAATAAGTGGAATCAAGGTAACTTGATAACAAGACAATATGGCTCAGTCTGCCTCTCACATGATACAATACAATAAGCATGCTACAATGACAAAATGAATTCATGAAGAATTACTCAATTTTGCCTTATTCATTGATTCACACTACTTCCCTGTCCCATACATAATATGTAATCTTCTAAGCAGCCCTGCAATGGATTCATCAGATAAAAGAAAATACAGTCCTGACCATAATGTGACTGGATTGCTATTTATGGAGATTTTTCAAATATTGGAAAATACGAGGGATCAAACTTACACATAATGTACATCTAGTTAACCTAATACTGACAAAGAGTAGAAGTGGAAAATATCTTTATTGGACATACTGTACTATGCCCCTTAATGAGAAATGTAACTTTTCAACAGAAAATTCCAAACTAAACTCAACTTGGCAACCCTAAAAATGGTTCAATAAGTGTCACAGCTACTTGTTTGCTTTCCCTCTTTAGAAACAGGCTTCTCTAATCTGCCTTCTACCTTTATATGGGTTCATGAATGCATAGTTGTAGTGATTCCCCTCACTTTTATGAAGAATAAAAAGAGGGTCTGAAATTTCTTGCCTGCATTTGTATCTTAGTGTACTGACTGCTGGAGACAAAAAGATCTTTCTGTTTTCTGTCATTCTGGCATAGTGGGCTTACATTTTAAAAATTTCATCATGTAGACTAATAGATCAAAGCTGAATTCATGTAATATGTCAGGCCACCATGTGATCCAAATCAAAGAAGTTTCTCATTGCTTCATTATTCCTTACCACAGTGACTACTGGAAAGAATATTTTTGCTTTTAGGCCCAAGACTGCCTGGAATGTACCCAATTCAAAAGAAAAGAATAATGCACAAGTTTGCAACAAATTAAACTACATACTGCACTTCCTGGAGCCCCTGTACTGCTTTGAGTTGTATCATCGTGGATTTCCGTTACTTCATCTTCCTGCTTTATGGTATCAACTGAGCTTGGACCTTGTTGAGGCTGTTGCATGGCTCCCATTTGAGATGATAGATGTGCCTGAAACAAGAAACCATCCTAATGAACACCATACAGCATCAATGGCCAGAAAAGTCAACAAATTGAGCAGGGTTGTAAACTCATGCCAGTCTTAAGCTGACACTAACTGATTCAGCCTTATTTCCAACCCGTGGCACAGAAAGATGGGATCTTGCCAGTTTAGCAGGTGGGAGCAACGAGTCACTATACTCATGATGAACAGAACTCTTGCGCTTGTGAGCCAAAGCATCCTCCACTCCTGCCACAGGTATTGTTGTTCCACCCATTCCATGTGACACAAAACTACTTTTGGACTTCTCGCCTTTCAGTCCTTTTACTTCCAAGTGTTCAGCAATTTCAATGAACCTTTCTAGATCCAAAGATGGAACTTCCACTTCTCCACTGTACATAAATTCAATCACAAGCTTCAGCAGATGCATTTCAATTCCATAGAAATGAATGATTGGAGTTCCAGTTCCATCCCTGTTGAGCATCCGCTCAAAATAGCCACTTCCAGCACTGAGCACCAATTTATGAGCCTTGAAAAACTGCCCATCACAAGAAAGTGTGACATCTACAAACATATCTCGATGACGTAGAATCTCAAAGTTGTGAAATGCCTCAGCATGATGAGAATTCCACTTCAGATTATACTTGCTGGACATCTTGGCTGCACTGCAATGCCAATTCCTTTGACTGAGGTCCTATACAAAAGGAAGATACTAGAGTTAAATATCCTTCATAATGAAAAAAATTCTATCTTAAGACATCTACATACTTAGGAATAAAACAGTATTAATATCAAATATCTACTGGTCATGCATTCTTCTCACTTACAAGCCTCCAATGCTCTAGCAAGTAATCAAGAAAGACCACTTGATAACTGGGAGTCAAGTATAGATGCAATATCCTACAGGAAATATCTTCATTCATAAGGATAAGACACTGTGTGTTGATATGGAGTGTGCATGGGTGTAGTTCTGTAACATCACATATGACTATAAAAGAAAAAGGTCCCTGTAACATTAAGTCCATCCAGTACTTTAAAGTCCATGATACATTAAGTCCAGGATGGTGGGTGATCACCAGTCCTTGGATATTTCATGTCTACTGATAGATCTTCACCTCTTCCTTTAGATAAGGAGGTGAACAGGTAGGCACACTAACATGTATGCATTCTTGACTCAACCAGTTGGCCATATACCCTCAATCAACAGAAAGGATGAACTAATCCATCAGAGCTTGGACTGAAATTATGCTCTAACTTCAAGCACTATACAATACACTGCCATAATCCCATCAAGCTAGTGAAACTCGAGATCCATTCAACATTAACATCCCCATTTTGGCTGTTTGAGTAGGTCACTATTAACCAAATGTTATTTATCCCTCAAGATAGTAATTTTACTTGGGGCACTGTTGGATAACACCCGAAGCTGAGAGTATGTACTCAGGAATTTCACTTGGGTCAAGAGCGTGTGAGCTATGATGGGGTCTTAAGGAAACCCTCCTACACCTGGCCAGTGGGGAGTATCATATTGGCCTAGAAGCTAGATTCACCATTACAGTTGACTATAACATGCTAAATGTAAAAATTTTGTATATGTGGATGACTTAACAACCATTATCTTTGCAACACTTTAATCAAGCTCTCCAGGACCTGCTGCTTCTACAAGCCTTCAGATCCACCCAATCTTGACAGAAATACTTAATTTCCAACATCCTGCAAAGATCTGGCCCTCTCAATAGATGACACATCACTAGATCACTAGCAATGCAACTTTTCCTCGTACTTTGGAAATTATATCACTAACCAATGGGACATCATGATCCATCCTACCAGTTCCATATAACACTGGCACCAGGTGTTGCTTGCCAACCTGGCATCAACCTAGAACCAACCTGATAGAAGGCAAAGAGTGGACAAGAGACAATGTAGGCTATGTCTATCATCTCCCATTGCCACAGAGTTCCATCAGTTTATAAGGCCTGAATACTGAAACCTCCTTTAGTTAGTGATCTCTTATTTACCCCAAGGACTCCTTGGAGAAAAAGAGCTCCTTCACTGAAAGGCTTTCATTTTGCCTCAATTGAGTTTAAGCAGTTGGGCCTAAGTGCTTGAGCCCTCTACAACAGAATCCAAGAACCACCTTGCATTGAGACAATGATGACATAGTAGAGAATGAGAGCCAGTAAGTGTTTTGTCAGGAAACTGACAAGATATCTCTTTAGCATAAGAGCATGCCCTTGGAGAGAAGAACCAGTAGGATCAGAGAGACAAGAAGAGGAAACTAACAAGGTAGCAAACAAATTTTTAAAAATCACTATTGAGAGGGAATTATAACTGAGACCACAAAAGAAACTCAATTCCTGATAAGAGGAAGATGGTGCAGATGGCTATTCAACTATCATGATGTATTGATTTATTGTGTCACCAACTCCTCCTCAGCGCATTTCCGCCCTACATGCCTATTGTTTTCCACTAAGCCTACCCCTCCTTCTAACGTTAAACCTGTAGGTTCCTGGTGCCATCAAAATTTCTTCATCTTGTCTCACAAATAACTAACCAGATTGAATCCCAAGCCTGGAACCAGGATCCATCCAGGAAGGAGTATATGTTGCAAGCAGGGAAAATATTTGAGAAATCAAGATGTGATCTTGCCTATCAGTTCGGGGCCTGTTTTTTTTTTTACTGTATTGTCTTACATCTCAGGGCTTGTTTCAAAAGCTTCGCGAGAATCTTCTTCAGCCAGCAGGATTTAGTGTCTATGATAGGCCTAGGCCAAAATGTTGTTTCCTTTACTTAAGGAACGTGATCACACTTGAATCTTGTGCTGACTGTTTCGCACATCAAGTTTCGAGTTTCCATTATCGACTCGGAAACGACGATCATGCTTTGAGGCTGCGGTACACGTGCAGGCACCCATACTGTGCCAGACCCTGCACCAAAACAGACACGAAACATGTCGTCCCCCTCCCATACCTCCCTCTCCCCCCGTACTGAGTTAATACACAGCTCTGGCGATGAGTTCACCCAACCTATCCAGAGGTTTCCAGAGGCCACTGTATAGATGGGGATGGCTGGATGGGTCCTTTTGCCTGCCCCCCCCCCCTCTCTAAATCCGGCCCTGCACTGTCCCTTTAATGAAAACCGGTTTTTCCTATGGGCCCACCACCAGCATAACTCACGCCTCCACCGGTCTTACGCATGACGGAATCTAGCATTCGTTAGATGCCCCAAGAGCCGAAACACCAGCAGTGCCCGAACCCATATGCGAATGCAAGATCTCATCGCGCAAGCACCGTCCGAGCATGGAATATGAGCATGTCATTGTCATCTCTATTAAGGGAAGCTTCATACACATCCGCCAATGACAATGAATAAATAGACTATGGTTCATCCGTTCAATGAGAGATCACGAGGGTTTCTGACCCTGTCTGGCAGCTTGCAAGTCAGCAATGACATTCGTGGCGAGCCGAGACGGAACATACTCAGGGAAATCATCCTCCATATTCTTCTCGTAATTAATTCAAGGTCCACGAAGATGTCCCCTTCCCCCTCCTCCGGCTGATAACGGTGAAGAGGCAGAAGAGCAAAGATTGGAATGACTTTATTGTCGGTACTAATCAGCGCAGCTGGAATGAGAATAGAGGCAATTCCGTTAGGCATACATTATTAAACGAAACCGCGATACACGCGGGCACTTCGCCCCCCACGAATCATAAAATTTTCATCTTGAAGCGAGAGGTTCCTGCAGTCCTGCACGACCGCAATGCGTGCGGGGAACTGGGTCGGCTCGACCCGAAGGATAACTGGCATCGGACACGCACGGCCGAGACTGCATTACAGGCGATCTCTCTCCTTCTCGGAGGCCCATTGAGAAAGAAATAACCGAACTCGTAAAGGAAGACCTAGCAGAGCAGCCTGCCCCACGCGGACGCGGGGCACGGGGCACGTGAAGGCACGGACGACGCACTCCCCGACACGGGAGATCACGGTGTCCGTTTAAAAAAAGGGTCTTGCTGTGGCTTTGGCACATCGTGCGATCGACAAAAATTGATCGAGGTAACGTGTTAATTCTGTCGTAAGATAAGAACTATGAATTCCAGCTATGACAAGACGAAACGGTTTCATATTGGAATATGCATTCGCCAGGGCACTAATAACCGGGATTCGATGGATTTAATCAAGACCTCTGACCATTGATACCAGCCACAGTACCCAGAACAAGTAAACTGTCGTCGACTTGGGGATGAAAAATGAAGATATCTCTCTGGGGGATGGAGCGGATGCGGAGCCTTCACACCCCGCCGACGAGGCGGTTGGGCGTGACGAGAACAGCCCGTGCGAAACCGCGTGGGTCCAATGGGGTCTGCACTTCTGGTACTTGTGACGTCGCAGTCGCTTTGCCTCGTCCGATTGTCCCCGCCACGAGTGGCTGAGTCACAGAATGGCGCCGATGACCCAAAGGAACTAAAGATGGAATATTACGACGAGGCTCGATGTGAGATGCAGCCGTGACGTCAGAGGTAGGACCGGCGGGGTCGGTACTTGGAATGCCGACACTGTCGCTCTTCCGCGATCGGCGAACATGCCGCCTTTTCGTGGAGACCTGACGGCTCGTTCCCTCGCCTCTTGCGCGATTGCAGAAACATTTTTAACTGCTTCGGAACCTCGATTTCACGATCGATACGTTTAGTTTCGACTTCTCGACCACGACTCCACCTGTGGCATGTCGACACCTCGACATCGGCATTCCCGGTCGAGACCTGGACTTCGGCACTCCCGGAACCCTCCAGAATGTGGTGATTTCCATCTTCCCGGTCGACATCGAAGGACGAGAGTCCGTCGGCATTCGCGGATGTAGAAACGGACGGAGGGCCAGAAATTCGGCATTCCGGGAGTCTCCCCCTCCCCTTTCGTCGAGACGGCCGGAAGTCGTACTTGCAACTCTGCATACAAATCGTGACTAAATTAATCCTCACCCATGCCGCCCGAGACAGGCGGGACGATGCCGGACGAGGTCGGCTCACGACCTAAATGCACTAAATTGCACTATAGCAAACGCACCATGCTGAACGAGCATGGACCAAAGAGTGTGAGAGATGAGGCATGCGCAATTCCATCTCTGGTTCTAGCACTCGCCTCTTGCATGCAGGAGAGGCTGGTGCCGAAGTCAAGTCGCAGAGGGTTCACGCGCCTTCACGCTCCCACTCTCACGCTTCTTCACCCGCCATGCACGTGAGTGCCGAAATCGAGGAGGGTTTGCATATACTGTATGCTGCCGGGAACCCCGCCCTCCCCGAAGACGATCGCGTCTCCATCAGAGCAGTTTCTTCCTGGCTGCCGGTGCGACGGCGTCACGTCGGAGAAAGATGGATCGAGTCGTCCGGTTCTCGGACCACCTCCGTAAGTGAAATTCTATAGTATCGGATAATATCACCGCGCACGACACGCCGAGAGCTGTCGCGTGACGTCGACCGAACGTGAGGGAAGCTTTCATCATCCCGAGACCAGCAGACGACGGTCGAGCGATCAAACACAACCGTACCCAAATCCCAGTACAGTGATTTCCACTCGAGTTTGGCAATTTTTCACTCGACCCGACGCTCGTGCACGAGGAACGTATATCCCATACACAGGTGTCCGAGTCGAGCGAAAAATCGTCAGACTCAAAATGAACACGACGTCCACAATTTCCACGAAATCCCATCGAAGATGCTAAGTCGCACGGACGGCTGAGGCTGGCTGTACGGATTACGGGCATTAAGAGATTACGAGGAGAAATTCCACGTTCTACTCAGTGCGGAGCCGTTCGAGTCAAGTTGCAACAGGTACGATGCCCCCCCCGAACCGGCCATTTTGGGCTTTGAGAGGCGCTGAATCTGATAATGGGATGGAAAAATAGTTCGAGTTTCGTTGTTTTACCTCTACAATCCTGCCGAGAAAAAAAAAGTGTATCTCCGCGTGTGTTCGTACAATCGAAGGCCTGGGCTGCCCTGAAATGAGAGACTCTTGCAGGAAAGGTGTTTCGATATTCCTTCCTACCGAACCTTCGAATACTGTTTAGTGAAGACGTCTCGCGCTGCATGTGACGCTGTGTGATATTTTTGCAGGGGTTGGGCCGGACTCAGACAAAGCCGAATCCCATGTTTCGGGAGAAGTCGAGTCCCCCGGGAACAAATCACGGAATTTCCGATGCCCTTGGATGCCATAATGAAAAAATGAATTTAATTTTTTTTTTTATGGTAAACACACGAGAAACGAGGTACATCGCAATCACAGAACTATTTTACCCCCCATGATATCATTTTTAGCATACTTTTGGAGACCTAGAAGTTCACCATCACAGACTGATCACAGACACAATAACGCCGAGGCTAGCAACGAGTGGGAGAGACGGGCAGTTTCCAATTCCAGGAAAAGGGTGAGGGAGAAAGAGGGTGTCGCAGGGGGTGAAACTTGGTGGCTAGGGTTGCCAATTCTCCCGGTTTCGTCCCTTTCCGACTGCTTCGCAAAGAACTCCGAGACCCAGATTCTCCCTGTTTCACTCGGAGGGGGGGGGGGTCGAGAGATTCCGGGCTGTCCCGTAGTCCTAGGGCCTTGCATTCATCCCAGTTGGTAAAAAAGCATCGGGTTACGAATATCACTTCAGACGGAAGCTTATGAAACAAGCTGGGCAAGCCCAGCCCAGTAGTGAGCCTCCTTTCATTTTAGGAGACCCGCGTTTCGGCACCCAATTGAACAAAATGCCATCTCTTTCTAGTCCTCGGCCATCAAGAACATCATTTTTTCAGTTACGTTGGAAAATTACCCCCGATGCCCATGAAATGATGGGAGGATGGAGGGTTGTGCGTGCGTGGAACCATCCGCCACGAAGGTTGGAAGGGAACCGACAGCTTTGGTCGCTGACACGGCACCGCGCATAAAGCCTGGGTCGTACGCGCATGCGCATTGCGATCCACATCCTGAAGGACTCACGGATACTCATGCCTTCCCCTCCGTGACCAAATTTCAAGTACAAAATTTGCAATAAAATTGCCAATTTTGGTATAAATTCGTCACAAAACGAACTCAGCTTGTATCTTTTTCATATCAACCTGCTTGCCAATTTTTGCATTGGTCAGTTAAATATTTTCTTAGTTATCGTCAGTGGCGTAGCGAGGGGGGGGGCTTCAGCCCCCCCAACTCTGGTCAGAATGCGCCCGCCCCACTCCGACGAGAAGTTAGCCCCCCCCATTGACGAAAACCTGGCTACGCCACTGGTTATCGTCGGACAACCAAAGTGTGACACACGGATGGACAGGACGGGACCATTAGTGGTCCCTTTCTGTTCAAGAAAGAAGGCCCACTAAAAATGGAGGAGAGAAGCAGATCGAGGGGAGACGTAGAGTTTGTACCCCCCCCCCCCCCAACCTAGTCATCAACAACACCGTCCAAACTTATTCCCCAAAATATGAACTAGTTGCTCCACCTAGGGCAAAAATCCTCGGCACACCACGGAAGCTAGGCCTAATGGATCAAGATTGCTCTACTAAAAGCAAAAAACCACCAACCCTTCTCAGCGCTCGAACTCTGACACGTGAGTCTCCAGGTCTGATTCGTCGGAGAGTGAGCAACCCTGGTCTAACCAAGTCTCGTTTTCACGCCCACGATCGCTGGGTCTCACCGAGTGGGACCGAACACAGATCAGAAGCGCACTGGACTCCGAATTACCACAGCCGCCCCAAAACGCTGACTAAGGTCAGAGGCTAAGAACAGGGTAGGTCCCCCAGTGAGAGAGAGAGAGATCCCGGACCCGCCTGCGCTTGCTCCTCGGTTGCCTTCTTTGCCTCCCACGTAGTCGCACTCATTTCTTTCATGGCCGTTGCAGTGAACTGTTCTCTGTCTTCCTCTAGTTTGATCTCGGTGAACCTCCCCTTACAGGTAGAGGAATTTTTCTCACTCGATCCATCTCTCGTCGA